GTCCTAGCTTCCTCCTGCCACTGTACCTGCCCTTGGCAAGCCTGCAGCGCACACCCATGGGACCTGGGAGACATTTACATCCTTTGGTGACTCTCTCACCCAGTGATCCGTTGAGAGACAATCTCTTACAGCTTCAAGGGAGACACTGCTTATTTCTACTTTTCAAGCTTGACAAATCTGCCCAGGGCTTTCTTAGTTCAGTGGTGGGTGGCTGGTTGAGGTGCATGTTTATTTCACTGCTATGGGTTTCGAATCAACTGGGACACAGGGCGATTGGAACACGACATCTCTCTCTCCCAGTGATGGATATGTAAGACTGCTTTTTTATTCTATTATATCTATCTCCATAAAAGGAGAAACAGTTTTATTGTGGCTGTCAACCCCAAAAATTAGACATATTGCTAATAGGAAGAACCATGCAACACCTCGTGGCTGATATACGTGATGACAAAATTATAGCAGTGGCAGCCCCGATAGCCTGAGAAACATTTCTCTGTATAAGCGGCTCAAGAAACTGCAGAGCGAAGTACGGTTACTTTGTTGTTGCTGTGTCTGACTTAGCTTTCTGGCCCAAGCATTAGAGAATTCCTTACATTTTCATTTCCCGTGTGTGTGTGTGTGTGTGTGTGTGTGTGAGAGAGAGAGAGAGAGAGAGAGAGAGAGAGAGAGAGAGAGAATACCATTTCTGAACATTATCTGTTGGAAACGTTTGATGATTTGGGCATCTCAGTGTTTGGTCCTTTTGTTAGATTATGACTTCCAAATGCAAATTTCCATGTGGTAATTAACCACAATTCTAATCTCCCATTTTTACAAATGGTTAAAGCTCTTGAACAATGAACCCTAATTATATGTGGCCAACTGACTGTATTCACATTACATGTCCACCACCTAGGGCAGTGTTTCCCAAAGTGTGGTACGCGTACCCGCAGGGGTACGGGAAGAGTTTGGTGGGGGTACGCGTTGCACCAGAGTTTGGTGGGGATATGCACTGCACCGTGCTTAGCTGCGCCTAATTCTATGTTCTCATGTGTACGAGGGGGTACTCAGCATTACGAAAATTATAGAAGGGGTACACATATGTCAAAAGTTTGGGAAACACTGACCTAGGGGATTAATGATAAGAGAAAAATACTGCAATGTCTTAGATTAAATTACAGCGGTAGAGAGTGAGAAAAGAGTGACGTAAGCAGTTAGCAGCTGTGGGCCCACTAACAATAGTCTGCTCACATTCCTGAACGGTTGTTGGAGCTTTGTATCAACTTCTATAGGGAACTAAGATGCCACCACATCCCATATATGCATGAACTTTCAGGACTGCTGCCCATTAGTGGTCAAAATTAGTAAATCATCTTTACACACTGTGCACCCAGACTTAGCCTACAACTGTCTCTGCTGCACCGTTCCCTGGCCCCGCTCTGTAACAAATGTACATTCTTTCAAAACAACTTACAACTTTCTTCCCAAAACATGGGTACAGAAGATCGTGTCTGCTCCCCAAAGCCATGCTCCTGGCGGGTGGGACCGCACACCCCAGGACCTGGTCCCTTTCTGGCAGCATTTGGCTCAACAGCCCCTTCCTTTCAGAAAAGCTTTGGCAGATTGTCCCCTTTGTCGTTATGAAATGTCTACCTTTGCCTCTTGTTACTTTCTTTATTTTGAGATCTATTTTGTCAGGTAAAAGTATGGCTACACCACTTTTCTCTGGGTGTCATTTGCTTGGAGAATCATTTCCTGCCCTTTCACTTTGAGTCTTATTTGTCCTTGCAGCTGAGGTGTGTCTCCAGAGGCAGCACATGGTTGGGCTTTGTTTTTGACTCAATCTACTACTCTGTGTCTTTTTAATGCAACCCACATCAAAATCCCAATGCCATTCTTAAAGAAATAGAATAAGAAGTCATTAGATTTGTATGAAATCACAGAAGACCCTGAATAGCCAAAGCAATCCTGAGAACAAAGAACAAAGCCAGAGATGTCACACTCCCGGACTTACAAAGCAGCAATAACCAAAACAGCATGGTATTGGCAGAAAAACAAACACACAGACTCATGGAGCAGAACTGAGAACCCAGAAATAAATCCCCATATATACGGGCATATAATTTTTGATAAAGGAGCCAAAATTTATAATGGAGAGAAGAAAGCCTCTTTAATAAATAATGCTGGGAAAATTGGAAAGCCACATGCAAAGGAATAAAACTAGATTGCCATTTGTCACCATCTGAAAAAATAAACTCAAAATGGGTTAAAGACCAAAGTATAAGACCTGAAACAATAAGTTACATAGAAAAACACATAAATACTAAACTTATGGACTTTGATTTTAGTGAAAATTTTATGCATTTGACCCAAATGCAAGAGAATTAAAGGCAAAAACAAATGAAAGTGACTACATCAAATTATAAATTCAAAAGAAACCATAATCAAGACAAAAAAGGCAAATAGCACCTCTTATAAGGGGTTAACATCCAAAATATATAAAGAACTCATAGACTTCAACAACAAAAATAAATAACCCAATAAAAATGTGCAGAGGACCTGAACAGACACTTCTCCTCAGGACACGCAGGTGGCCACAGGTGTATAAAAACATGCTCAACTTCACTAGCTACTAGGGAAATACAAGTCAACACCACAATGAGAACCACCTCACACCTGTCAGAATGGTTATTGTCAACAAGATAAATAATAACTCGTGTTGGAGAGGGTGTGGAGGAAAGGACCCCTCATTCACTGCTGGTGGGAATGTAGATGGACATCCACTATGAAAAACAGTAGGGGAGTTCCCTAAACTATTAAGAATAGAGTTACCACATGACTCAGCAGCCCCTCTTCTGGGTATCTACCTGAAAGATTTGAAAACATTTATTCATAAATATATATCTACTCCTACATTCACTGCAGCATTATTCATGGTGGCCAAAACACGGAAACCACTGAAGTGGCCTTGGATAGATGATTGGATAAAGAAGATGTGGTACATATAGTATATACAATGAGACATGACTCAGCCATAAGAAGATAAAATACTGTCATTTTCGACAACATGGATGAATCTTGAGAATATCATACTAAGCAAAATAAGATAGACAGAAAAAGTCAATAACCATTATTTCACTCACGAGTGGGATATAAAACTGAAAACAACAAACAAACAAAAACTCACACACACACACACACACACACACACACAGATAATAGTATGGTGCTTACCAGAGGGGAAGGGCATTGGGGAGAGGTAGAACAGGGTAAAGAAAGTCAAATATCTGGTGACTTGATTTTGGGTGGTGAACACATAATGCAATATACAACTCATAATGATCTGTAATAGAAATGCACATTTGAAATCTCAGAGTTCACTAACCAATGTCACGCCAATAAATTAAATTAAAAAAAAAAATCTTTGGGTTGTGAATCTTTTTGTTTAACGAAGACTACCTCCCTTGCTGCTTGGGGCAGTGGAGATGAGGAGGTTGTGATGGCCAGGAGGGGAGCGTGCCTGGAGCTGAGTACAGCGAGAGCAGCCAAGGGAAGGGGAGAAAAATACATGTCCTCCTGGGCCACCCTGTTGTGTTTTTTTAGATTCTCATCCAAGAGAGCAAGGAGGAGGGAAGTAGAGAAAAGGGAGGGAGGGAAGGAGGGAGGGAGGGAGAGAGAGAGGGGAAAACACTGATGTGAGAAACACTGATTAGTTATCTTTCCTTTGTGCCAACCAAGGATCAAACCTGCAACTCAGGTATGTGCCCTGACTGAGAACGGGACCTGCAATAATCTTTCCTGCACAGGATGATGCTCAGTTGAGCCGCTCTGGCAGGGCGTCCTGGACCACCTTAGCCTTTCGTACATCCAATGACCTTGGAACATTCGTCAATGAGACTAACAACAAATGCGGATTTGGCTTTCTATCCCCAAATTCTGGGGTGCTTGGAGGACAGGTGTCAGGACTGTCGCTTCTATGACAAGGACGCTGGGACTTGGGGACATTTAGCACCCTTAACTGTTCTGACTCCGGTGGGTCAGTGGTTTAGTGTCTGCCCCCTGGGCGGGATTGTAGGCAATCTGGCCTGAGGGCGGATCTCTCGTTATCACGGGCGGCTGCAGCCCGGTTAATGTGTGCCTCACACAGAGATGGACCGCTGCCTAGTGCACAGCTGAGGTTGCAAACAGGCGTCAAGCCAAACTCTTGAAACCATCTCTTCTGCTTTCCAGGCTTGTCCTTGACACATATTTTTTTTCCCTAAGAGCTGAAGTAATTTTCATAATTTCTTATTTGTCACTTTCAGCATCTCAAGAGCATTCCAGGATGTTATCTTTATTCATCTACTTCTCCTGTTTCTCTTCTTTCAAATTGCTCCTAGGAAAGGAGGTAATATTTGGGTTTTAGTGCAGGATGGAGTGATGATGACAGGATATTTTTCCTGGATAAGAACTCTTTATACTGGTGTAAAGAACATGCATTTTATTTTATTTTTAATCCTCACTTGAGGATATTTTTCCATTGACTTTTAGAGAGAATGGAAGGGAAGGGGAGAGACACACGGAAAAACATAGATGTGAGTGAGACACATTGACTGGTTGCCTCCCGCATGCCCCCCTGATCAGGGCCAGGGAATGGGCCTGCAATCGAGGTACACACCTTTGACCAGATTCAAACCCAGGATCCTTCAGTCCATGGGCCAATGCTTTATCCACTGAGCCAAACCGACTAGGCAAGAACACAGCATTTCAGAGGAAAGGGGTTTGCCTGTTTATCAAAACAAAACACTTCTCTTTGGTAGCATTCAACCGCCAACAGTCTTGAGTACAAAAGGCTCGCTGATGCCCTCTGCCTTCCTTTCGGACATCCTGGCTGTAGCCAGGTTCCGCTGCAGGTCCCTTTGAGAGGACACTTACCTGACAGGCTTATCAGGAATGGCCACTGTGGCCAGATGCACAGCCCCTTCCCCCGTGGGACCGCCCTGTCCCGCTGGCCCTCACCGCAGCCGCGGATCCACACTCACATGTCGTCGAAGATGAGTTTCTGCCTCTTGCAGTCCCGGTGGCCGCTGGAGCCCGGGGACCACGGCTCCGTCTGTGGCCGTGGCTTGTGGAGAACGTTTTCTGAGTTGTGGTGAGCTGCTTTCTAAACGACAAACAACATGCTGGTTCTGAGAAACTCGCCTCTTGGCTGGAAGAGCAACCCATCACACAGAACAGCTGTGTTCCGGACTCTACGTTAGAATCAGTGGTGCTTTTGTTTAAGTAAAGAAAAAGAAATATGTGCATTCCAGTTCTCAAAAGGGAGTTTCAGATACAGGGTGGGCAAAAGTAGGTCTACAGCTGTTCTGTGAAAGAAAGCCATGCAGGTTATGATTATAGTAATGCAAGAATAAGCTCCGTGTTTCGCATACCCGCACTGTAAACCCACGTTTGCCCGCCCTGTATGCTGTGCAGTGTCATCTCGTAACAGTGTCATCAGCGAAGGCGTGGCTGGCCCAGGCACTGCAGTTCAGTGAAGTCAAGTGACAGCCCGAGCCCCCTGCTGTGAGGGAGGCTCAGGGCGAGCGCTCGCCCTGCTCTCCTCCACTGGCTAGATGTGTGGTTCTCCAAGTTAACTCCGCATGAGACTCAGCCAACGCGCAGCAGCGCACCGACCATGGGCCCCACTTCCAGAGCCCCCGTCCTGGGTCAGGGGCGGAGCCTGAGAGCGAGCGTTTCTAACAAGCCCCGGGCGCTGCTGAGCACTGAGCTGTAATCCACAATCCCTCTAAAAAGATTAGAAACAGACACTCTCTTATTCGCTGTCGGTTAAGATTAGAAAAAGCCAGAGGGAATTACTAGAAATTATTTAAAATATGTCGTTAAAAGGAATACTATTGATTTGTGGAAAAATTAAAAAAATTATAACTCCTGGGGATACACATATTTATAGGGCATCCATTGGGTGCACAACACTTGGATCAGAAGACAACTGCCTTTGGTTATGAAATTCAAATCAGTTCCTCTAAAGTAATTAAAATAGAAGGTAGCCCGGCCAGTGTGACTCAGTGGTTGAACACCAACTTATGAACCAGGAGGTCATGGTTTGATTCCTGGTCAGGGCACATGCCTAGGTTGTGGGCTTGATCCCCAGCAGAGAGGGTGCAGGAGGCAGCTGATCAATGATTCTCTTATTGATGTTTCTCCCTTCCTCTCTGAAATCAATAGAAAATATTAAAAAAATAATAGAGTAAAAAGAATAATAAAGTGCATGCCAATGCTTCTTTCAGGATGGACCAATTCTGGGTGTGGGTCAGCCTCCTTGCGGTAAGAGCCCAGGGCGTCTCCTCCCCGCAGGGGGTGGCACTGCGGGCGTGTGGCCTGTCTAAGCTGCTCTCCCCAGCCGGACGGGAGGCTTCACGCAGGCTCAGATGGAATCTGCTAGATTGTCCTTGCATCTCTGCTGCTTGGCACAGTGTTTGGCACCCAGTAAGCACCTGCTCAATAGCCATCTAGTCAGGGAATGGATGACTAAATGAAGTCTCTAATTGTTTTAAAAATTTCTGCACACCATACAATTTTTTGCTTGTAGGATCTAGACTAGAGGCAAAGAAAAGTTTTGTTTGTTTTTAAATTTGAATTGGGAGTCTTTTATTTCAGGTTTTCCTAATATGGTGTTCTCAGATTCTTATAGTTTAGAATTAAATATAATTGTTCCCAAATGAGGGCACATTTAATTTCCTGATACAACAAGGTTTAAGCTTTTGTAAGACCTTCTACTCTTTGATCTTATTAAGTCATGGGATAAAGCACTGAGTGCTGCCTCCCCATCTCTTTGCCAGAGTCAGATGCTCTGTCTCACCGCCCCGAGCCTCACAAAGCCTCACCGGTTTTGATAGGCACAGTGACGGGAGCATGCAGTGGGGAGATCTGGGATGAAATAATGGAGCCCAGCGGGAGGGCAGTAAAGAGGAACTAGCCTGTAGTGTGAGGTGCACAGGTGTCCACAGGTGCTGGGTTCTTTAAATAACATCATCTCATTTAAATATATCTATATCTATATATATATATTTAAATATATTTTATTGATTTTTTACAGAGAGGAAGGGAGAGAGATAGAGAGCTAGAAATGTCAATGAGAGAGAAACATCGACCAGCTGCCTCTTGCACACCCCCTACCGAGGATGTGCCCGCAACCAACGTACATGCCCGTCCGGAATCGAACCTGGGACCTTTCAGTCCGTAGACCGACGCTCTACTACTGAGCCAAACCGGTTTTGGGTCATTTAAATATTTTAATGCTGTTTGCAAATGAAACAGGCTCCAAAGCCACGTGTCCACTAATTTATGAAGCTAGATGGATGGTGCACCTCAACCTCTTGCCCTCCTCACGGGAGGGGAGGGCACTGGAATCACCCCAGGAGGTTGCCAAAAGAGGGGTGGTGGTAGGGTCCCACACTCTGGCTGTTATACTGGTCACCCAGATTGGAGTGGGAACCCCAACATTTTGGCCTGGGTTTTCCATTCCAGGCTTAGCTCTGTCCTGGGACAAGGAACCTTTTCAAAGAAAGGGTGGGCTGGTCCCAAACTCTGATTCCCTTTGTGTTGTGATGGACAGCATTACTCTGGGCCGTTCCTTTTCAGAATGGGGAGTGGAGCCCCACAGGCTGCTCCTCAGTTTCTCCTTCCGCAGCTCTCCCTGCCAGGCCTTCCCAGAGCAGCCTGGGGTCCTTTCTGGAACCTCACGTGTGTGTCCAGACAGTGCCGGGCTGGGACGGGTGGCGTGTCCGCGTGTGCTCAGCTTCGCTTCACATTCACTGCGGACAGAAAGAGCATGAACGTACCGTGAGGTCTGCAGCGTGAGCCGGCAGCTGGTTCTCAGCCTTGAGCTTTTTGCTGGAGGCGGCGGAAGGGAACAGGCCTGCGCCGCTGGCTCTGCCGGAGGACAAGTCCTCGCTGGAGTATTTGTGTTTGGAGGCGTCGGAGAGGGGTGAGATGGGCGGCCGGAGCAGCTTTTCATTCTTATTGATGGGTATTGCCAAGCTGCAGAAGAAAATCACGGTAATGGAATGTCAGGAGCCAGCACAGGGAGAGGCAAACGTCTTATATATGACCCAAGCCGCCTATTTAGAGCTGGCTGGCAGCGAGACGTTTATGGGGAGTTATTACACCAGGAAACAATTTTATGGCACTAGGACCGTAACAAACAATAAGCAAATTTCACTCATTGTTTCTTTACTTGTCCTACAGGATGAAGAGTAACTCTGGAGTTAAATAACTAAGAATAATAAGACTTTCATTTTCCAAGTGTTTCATCCATGGATCTCAAAATGCACAACCAACATCGTCCTGCTTTCCTACTAAGTGTCAGCAGCAAGCAATGAGAAGTCAATCACACCATACTTGTTCCTATTTCTAAAAGGACTTTTGCTAACAGCTGAGCTTATACTAATTACAATATTTTATGGAGAATAACAGAATTACAGAATGACTTGCAAAGCAAGAAAACAACTTTTAATTGTTAGGTTTCCCAGCTAACCAGGCATTGATCAGAATGAACAAAGAACAGAAAACTCATCAGAAGTGACATTTTCTAATTCCCAGCTCTTGATTTTACCTCCAAAACTATAGTCTGGAACTCCCTCCCCCACAATTAACCATCAGAGAAGTTATACTTGAGTTATTGTTAGGACTCTCTCCATTACTTAATTTGAAAAAAATTGGGAAAAGACACATGAGCTTGAAAGAAACTAAACCATTGCTAATTTAGGATGTTTGTAGAAAGAAGTCCCCTGATAATTAGATAAAAAAAGAAAAGGTAAATTAATTTAACAAAATGTAGTCATTATTCCCACAGTTATGATTGTATATGGTGGCTATCCCTGCAAACAAGTCATTAAAGTAACTTCAAAAGCAATTGCCTTAGTAGGTGGTGACCATGTAGAAATATTGATAGCAAACACAGGCCTCAGATGACAAAGGCAGGTTCTCAAGATTATGCAGATAGACATGGTTAGGGATAGACTTGGTGATGATCTATTTCTGGTTCAAAAAGCACTGGATGTCTAACAGTTTAGCAGGGGGAAGGCACGTCCGAAAAATGGCCGTGGGCCAATCACAGTCCCGGGGCTAGTGATGATGGAAGTGAAGATGGATGTGAACAGTCTGAACAGAACTGTTTCCTGACACATGAGTGAAAAAGGTCCCACATCTAATCTATCATTGTCCATATATGTGATTTTAAGTGTTCATGGGAAACTGGATTATTACACTGTATTATCATGGACATATGATTATTTCTTCTTTATCATTATAAGTTTATATAGTCAAATTGACCAAAGAAACTTCATTTGGATCTCCTTTCTGGGATGGGTGACCGCTTTACATATGGGGTTGTCTTATCACACGGGTATAACTGACAGCAGTCAGCACAAACTGGGGGACCCAGCCCGCCTTTCCCAGAAAGTCTGAAGGCACATTGCTATGCCCAGGGCCATCACTTACCAGGAAGCCACCAGACGGGCATGTGGAGAAGCACGGGGCCTCTGGGGGAACCTTGCCAAAGGCCGAAGCCCCTACCTTGATTTTTCCAAACAAGTCCGATCCCCTGGGGTGTTTCGCTAGAATCTCTATGTTTAGTTCTTAAACCCGACCTTGTAGAAGCGTGTGCTTTCTCAAGGATGCTTACCTGCTGATTGTACCTACAGGTTAATTTTAGTTCCAGCTGTTGTGACAATAAAAACCCAAGGAGGCAGGCAATCAAGGCTTTTTTGACTCCTTATGCCAACTAGCCCCTTAGCTTCTCTTTCACAGAATCGGGTGTCAGAGTAATCATTCATCTGCCGTCCAGGCTCTGCCACGCAAAGGCGCTACTGCAAGAGCTTACGAGTCCTGGACTCCGTGAACTGGGATGGCAGTGACACGCTCACTCTCCATAACCTCTCACTGAAATGGAGCATAATGAATGCTGTTTATAATCACCACCACTTAGAAACCATGTCGTCACAGATGTGCTGGAAGGAGTACTTATCCTGGCCGGGGTGGCTCAGTGGTTGAGCGTCAACCTATGAACCAGGAGATCGCGGTTCAATTCCTGTTCAGGGCACATGCCCAGGTTGCAGGCTCAATTCCCAGGAGGGTGCGTGCAGGAGGCAGCTGATCAAGGACTCTCTTATCATTGATGTTTCTATCTCTCTCTCTCTCTCCCTTCTTCTCTGAAATCAATAAAACAAATATATATATATATATATTTTAAAAAGAAAGCTTACTAATGCTAATGCACAAAGAAGCACATATATAACTCTAGGCACATTTGAAAGATTATTAGGAAGCACTCTGTCCCCATTAACTTTCCCCAGTTATTCGGGGTACTGTCCTCTCGGCACAGGCTCTGTGGCCAACGCCAGCGGTGTGGCTGTGCAGCTCTCCCTCCTGCCCACGGCGGCAGGCCCGCTCCCGCGCCTCCTCTCCTGTGAGTGCCGCTCTCCATCTCCCCTAACCGTTCTGCTTACAGGTGCGTGGGCTGTGCTGCGGCATCCATCTCCCCTCACAGATGCTACGTCCGCAGCCAGGGAGAGTGAGGAGCCTTCGCAGAGGAAAAGTGGGTTCCGAGCTGTGCTATTTCGAAATGGCGAGAGCGTCTGTGACTGATGAGAAGCCACTGGCTTGTGATGAACACCGGGGACCTTGCCTTGCGAGGAAGACATTTGTCACAGAGCGGACTCGGCGCAGCGCGGTCCGTCCGGAGCGCCGGCGGCAGCGCCACGAGGCGGCCGTTTAACCTTGGAGACACAGAGCCTGTCCAACTCCAGGATTTTAGTCTACATCCAAGAGCCTTAGGGGCATCGTATGGAGATTCAGCTCAAAATGTATGCTTCTCCATTCGTGTGATAAGCTTAGTGTCCTAAGCTTAGCTACTGAAATCACGATTTAAGAGCCCAGCGATGAAGCTCTCAGAGGGAAGCGCGCAGAGCTGGGTGGCAGTGGTGACTGCCTTTTGTTACCGAGAAGCACTCACACCCGAGCGGTGACCCCAGGTGCACATCTGGGTGTAAGGATGAGCCTCAGGTTAACCTGCGGAGAGCAGGCCTGGAGCCCCAGACCGGAGCAGTCCTAAAACCCAACTCCCCATGTGGCACACGACTTCAGCCCAGAGACCCCTGCCCCCAGCTCGCCTCCGCCCGAGGGACACGCACCTGCTGACGTTCATGTTGCAGGGATTCGCGGACACAGTGTTGCTGGCAGAGGCGGCCAGGCGGGAAGAGCTCTCCTTCTCTCCTGGGGCCTTCTTGACCTCCCGGTAGTCGTCCTCGTTGTCACACTGCGTGCAAACAAGCAAAAACAATGAGCTGCGGCTGTGAAAGGACCATCTTGCTCACACACAGCACGGCCTCGGAGGCCCGCTCGCTGCCTCTCTGGAAGGCATCTGACCAGCCATGTGGTCCAAGCGCCCCGGACCTGGTCTGGGTTCCAGGCCAGCGCCTCGTCAAATGAGGAGGAAACGGGTCAGTTTTACTGCGGGAACTTCAGTGAGAGGGAAAGCCTGCATCCCGATAAAAACGCAGGACACACCACTGAATGGGGAAACGGCTCCGCCGTCAACAGAGACTGCCCTGGCCCAGCCTCGGCACCTCTCCTGGCATTTCTCGCTAACGGAACAGGGCACAGCAACCCATTCTCAGTGCCGGGAGGGCAGTGACTGGCTCGACCTTTTCTCCTGAAATTCACGGCTTTTATGCATTTCAAGCAAAAGCTGTCACCTCTTGGTGCCTCACTCCCAGTTCACAATGGCTCTCCCGTGCTATTGGAGAACCCTGGAGGCACCTTTTTGTAAAGCAGCACTTGGATTCAAGTATGTTTCCTTGGTTGCGTGTGACATTAGAGGTGTTTTAGGGTGCCATGCAAATGCGCCCTGTGTCATGTGCAGGGCCCTGGGCAGTGTTGTCCAGAAGACAGTTTTCTCTCTGGCTGGGACTGTCACAGCCTCTCGCACAAGGACCCCACTGGGACAGTGGAGGATCCCCAGCCCTTGGCTCTGGGCTCCAGCAGAGCTGGACTCTGCACTTTCGGCAGCCTGGTCTACAGGGTCCCATTTCCTGCACCCAGTACTGGGGTCTTAACACCCAGATGCTGAGTAAAGAGCACTGAGAAATGCTCTTCACCTTCTCAGTGTCTGCGTTTAATGATAATTTATCAGATTTCATGAGCTTGGTGTCAGGCTTGGCATAGTTTCATAAGTTAAAATTTAAAACGGTCATAAATAAAATTATTTAAATACAGAACATTATGGAATTTATATATTCTTACACATATTTGCATATGTCTTTCTGCACATCTCCTTCTCTATATCTATATATGCCTGTACAGCTATCTGTATTTCCAATCTATGTTTATCAATTTCTCTCTCTGTATATTTCTTATATATCTTTGTGTCTCTCTTACCCAAGCCCCCTCTCTTTCCATCATTCTATCCATGTATCCATCAATCCCCAGATGGTTAACTGACTGCTCAGTCAGTTGATCACCGAGGCCTGACTGATAAGTCAATCCAAAAGTGATGAGGAGGGCAGGATATCCAGAGGAAAACAGGAAGGCAGAGGGGGAGGGGAGAAGTGGGCTTCCCCATATTACTGAATTATACTGTCTGACCTGCACAGTGCCCTTGCATAGGTGTCACCATTTAGAAAGGAAGAAAGTGAAATAAAGAGGAGAGGCCACCAGACTAAGGTCACCCAGGAGGCAGTGAGGACTAAATAATTCGCTGGTTCAGCACAAAATGAAAATGTAGGGCTCCTGGTTAAAAAAGCAGGAAAAGGTCCTTATCATAAAGATTATTATTTTTTTATTTGACAACAAAAGAAAAATAAACAAGTGGGACTTCATCCAACTACAAAACTCTGCAAAGGCCAGGAAGCCATCAACAAAATGAGAAGGGAACGTACTGGGAGAAATGGGAGAAAGTGTTTGCACATCATACAGTATATCTGATACGGAGCCCACAACCCAAATAGATAAAGAAGTCACAGAACTCAACAGCAAAAACCCCAAAACAAACTATCTGATTAAAAAATGGGCAGAGGACCGGAATAGACATTTCTCCAGAGAGGACATACAGATGGCCAACAGATGTATGAAAAGGTGCTCATCATCGCTCATGACCAGAGAAGTGCGAACCAGAACCACAGAGAGAAATCAACTCACAGCTGTTAGCGTGGCGATGATAAGAAACAACAAGTGCTAGTGAGAACATTGGGAAAAGGGAGCCCTCCTACACTGTTGGTGGGAATGGAAATTTGTGTAGCTACTATGAAAAACAGTATGGTGGTCCCTAAAAAAATTAAAAATAGAATGTTATTCAGCTATCCCGTTTCTGGGTATTCATTTGAAAAAAATGAAAACACTAATTTAAAAAGATATGTACATTCCATGTTCACTACAGCATTATTTACAACAGCCAATATAGGAACAACCTACATATTCATCAATGGATAAATGGATAAAGAAACTGTATCTACATAATATCTATATAATATACACTGAGTGGCCAGATTATTATGATCTCTGAACGCATAATAATTTGGCCACTCAGTGCACATCCTATATAATAAAAGGCTAACATGCAGCCGAAACCAGTTTGGCTCAGTGGATAGAGCGTCTGTCTGTGGACTGAAAGGTCCCAGGTTCGATTCCGGTCAAGGGCATGTACATTGGTTGCGGGCACATCCCCAGTAGGGGATGTGCAGGAGGCAGCTGGTCGATGTTTCTCCCATCGATGTTTCTGACTCTCTTTCCCTCTCTCTTCCTCTCTGTAAAAAATCAATAAAATATATTTAAAAAAAAAGGCTAATATGCAAATTGTCCCCTCGACCAGGAGTTCAACCAGCAGGCAGGCTTGCCAACTGCTCATGTCCATGTTCCCTCCCCCTGGGCAGGCTGGCTGGACACCACCCATGCACAAATTCATGCACCAGGCCTCTAATATATATATTATATAATATATTATATAATATATTATATAATATATATATTATATTATATATTATATAATACACACACACACACACACACACACACACACACTGAGTGGCCAGATTATGCATTCAGAGATCATAATAATCTGGCAACTCAGTGTATATTCACACACATATACACATGATACAAAAAATGGAATATTATTCAGCCATAAAGAAAATAAAATCTTGCCAAAATGAATGAATGTTATGATAAGTGAAATAAGTTAGACAGAAAAAACATAAATACTATATAATCTCGGTTCTATGTAAACACTACAAAATAACAAAACAAAAAAAAAACCCTAAATAAATCCCCAAGCTTATGTGCCTAGAGAACAGACTGGTGGTTGTTGAGGGGCCTGGGGGGTTTTGGGGGAGAGTGGATGAATACATGAAGGGGATCAAAATGTACAAACTTCCATTTACATAATAAAGAAGTCCCGGGGTGTAACATACAGCATGGAGACTGTAGCTGATAATACTGTATTGCATAAGTGAAAGCAGACAGGAGAGTAGCACTTGGAAGTTCTCATCAGGAGAAATGAAATTTGTAATTATGCATTGATGATGGATGTTAATTGGACTTATTGGACTTATTGTGGTGACCATTTTGCAATATACACTACAAATATAGCATCATCACACTGTATACTAGAAACTAATACAATGTTTTATCAATTATACCGCAATTGTTTTTAAAGCAGGAGGAGTAATTAGAAAGTACTAAAGGAGAAAACATTTCCTTTCTCTCAGTGTCTCCTGATCTGCCATGGTGGCGATTACTTGAGACCTTCCCTGAGGTGTTGGCATGCTTGGGAGGGGGAGTGTAGACTCTCTGGTGCCCAGGGTCCTGTCCGGTGACTGGGCGCACACACGCAGCCCACCAGCAAAGGATTCCCACTGCCCACCAGTGGCGGGCCTGCCTGGTGAGGGTAGGAAGTCCAGTGGGCATTTCCCTTTCCCTGGTTCCCACAACCCAAGGAATCCGGCAACCCTTAGGGAATGCAGTCTCCTTTCTGGGAATTCTCAGAATAGGATAGGTCTTCTCTGGACCACACATGCTCTATTGTCCTATCATACTTCACTTACAGAGCACAAATTCAAAGAGAAAATGGAGAATATGAAGACGGCAACCACCAGCATTAAGCCCCAAGCCCAAGCCCTTCTGAGCAGGGAAAGTTCAGCACAAATCCAAGCCTGCCTTCTATTGGGAGACCTGACCAGACAGCCTAGGCTCACTCCTCCTCTGCCCCTTACCACCTCGGGAACCTAGGCAGATTGCTGTAATCTCCTGAGCCTCAGTTTCCTCATCTGGAAAATGGGCATGACAATGATATTTGCCTCATAAAGTTATAGGACTCAACGGTTTAATTTACACCAAGTGCTGCATCCCTCATGAGGATATGCATATGTGTCAACTGCTGTTAATGATTTTGTCCTAACTTTGGAACTATCCATGATTACTGCAACCTTTGGTTTGTTACCCATTGTGTTTTTCACTGTGGTCCAAGTTACTTTTGAAGACACAGTAACAGGAGGGAACAATAATCTTCAAAATTGGCTTTAATTTACAACTAGGTTACTTCCAGGCTGAAAAATCTTTGAAAACTGCTGAGCATTTGGGTCAGCTTCCAGATGTGTTTCCAGCTTCCCTGTCCTTTCTCGCGCCTGCGCTTCCTGGTTTCCCTTCCCCTCTTTTGGTGCCTCTTCATCCCTGACCCTCTAATGGCAGTCACATGCCACATAATGACATTTCAGCCAATGATGGACTGTCTGTATGATAGTGGTCCCATAAGACTGTGATGGAGCCCGGCTGGTATGGCTCAGTGGTTGGAGCGTCACCCTATGCACCAAGAGGTTGCTGGTTTGATTCCTGGTCAGGGCACATGCCTGGTTGTGGGTTCGATCCCCAGTAGGGGGCGTGCAGGAGGCAGCAGATCAATGTTTCTCTCTCTCTTCCCCTCTCTCTCAAATCAATAAAAATGTCTTAAATTTTTTTCTTAAAGATCATAATGGGCTGAAACATTCCTATTGCTTAGTGATGCCGAAGTCATCCTCACATCACAGTGCCAGGCACCACTCACGTGTTTGCTGTGAGGAGGTGCAAACCAGGCTGCTGCTCTGCCCGCCGTATGACGGTGCAGCACATACAATATGCACAGCCTGCAATACATACCTGATAATGGTAACACACAACTATGTTAGTGATCTGTGTATTTTATCGTTTTTTTGTGTATTCCTGCTACTTACTAAATTTTTTTCTCTACAATAGTATGCCTTCCTATGTTAGCAGCAGCCTCCTACGTCTCCTGTTCGCCTGCGCAGCTCGGAGGCGCGCAGCTCCTTGCGGTAGCTGCCTCTTTCCTCTTGTGCTTGCTTTAATGTCGTGCTGTTTTCTACAGTAACAAGCTCTGCAGGCTGGTAGCCCAGAGCAGTGGCCTGTCCGTTACGGCCTGGGTGAGTAGGAGGTCAGACCATCTAGGTTTGTGTCACTGCACTCTGTGAGGTTTGATCAAAAACAAAATTACCAGCCATGCATTTCTCAGAGCAAATCCCAGTCTTTAGAGGGCACAGGACCATACTCAAATCCCTCCTTCTTGGGGCGCTGTCCCCGCCCCGCTCCACCAACAAGCTCCCATCAACACGCTGAGGCCGTGCTCCTCCCACAGGGCCGTCCTCCAACGCCTGGCTTCATGCACTGCTCTTCAGGCTTCCCCGTCACAGCCTTACATTTGCCGGCTCCTTAGTCGGTGAGTGACCTCACTGTAGATGCCACTGCACCCCTCCCAGCAAGGAATGGGGTTCACCGCGAGGTTAGCTTTCCACAGGCCCAGCTCGCCTCGCACACACCTGATAAAGACTTCAACAGGCAGTGGACAGGGCTTTGCTACCAGAGCTGCAACAGCGGTGCTCCTGCCTGGGTGCTGAAGGGTTTACCTGGATGACTATGCCAGCCACTTACAGTAGCATCAGGCATGTGTCAGTGCTGTGTGAATGTTTGCTCTGTGAGACTCAGAGACTGCTGCTGCCTCCCATCCCGGACCAGCAGCTGCGTGTGCTCTGTCACCCCACCCACAGCCCTCCTCCCCCAGCCCGCAGCCCTCCTCCCCAGCCCCGCAGCCCTCCTCCCCCAGCCCTGCAGCCCTCCTCCCCCAGCCCTGCAGCCCTCCTCCCCCAGCCCCGCAGCCCGCAGCCCTCCTCCCCAGCCCCGCAGCCCTCCTCCCCCAGCCCCGCAGCCCGCAGCCCCCCTCCCCCAGCCCCGCAGCCCTACTCCCCCAGCCCCGCAGCCCTCCTCCCCCAGCCCGCAGCCCTCCTCCCCCAGCCCGCAGCCCTCCTCCCCCAGCCCGCAGCCCATGCCTACCTTGCGTTTCCTCTTGGATTTGGGCAAAGCCTTCTCTACAGGGGTGTCGGCCGGGTGGCTCGGAGGTGCGCTCTCTGCCTCCTTGGCCGCGGGCGCGCTCAGGGCCCCCGCCTCCTGGGGCAGGTGCTCTGGGATCCTGGACAGGAGCGCCAGGTCGATTTTGACCCAGAGAGACCTGACCTCGTCACTGTCCTTCAGCGGGGAGAGGAGCTCGTTGCGGCCGAAGGGGACCAGCGTGTAGAACTGCTCCTCCAGCTCCTTGGCGATGTCGCTGGTGGTCCTGGCGTTGATGGAGCCCACGGGTGCGCGGGGCCCGCCGCCAATGCCGCCCGCCGCCTCCTTGAGCCGCTGGTCACTGGCAGGGGCGGCGGCCGCGGCCTGCGCTTTGGCCAGAGGGTACTCCTCCTGCTCCGACTCCAGGTCCGAGTCCGAGGAGGAGGAGGACGATGAGGACTCTGTCTCGATGAACTCCTTGGATTTGGGGACGATCCTGCTCAGCCCCCGCGTGCGGCGCTTCTCGCAGGGGACGGAGGCGGCGGCGCGCAGCTCCTTGCGGTGGCTGGTCCTGCTGCTGGCGCAGGGCCTGGCTTTGGGGGGCTCCGGAGGGACGGGGGGGATGGCTGCGGGCGCCCCCAGCGCCTCCGCGGGCTCCTCCGGCCGCTGGCAGCTGGCGGGCTCCCCGGCGGAGGCCCGCTCGGTGCGCCTGGGGGGCTTCTTGCCCGCGGACCTCCGCGTGGGGGCGGGCGGCTCCGGGGGCGCCCCGGCGGGGGCTGGCGGCGGGGCGGCTGCGGTCACTGCCACGGCCACGGCCACGGCCGCGGGCGGGGACTTCTGCTTCACGCCCTTGGTCCCCGGGGCCTTGTTGGCTGTCCTTGGCCTCTGCTCTTCCTTGCAGGCGCTCTTGGCGTCCTTCTCCCTCAGGCCGGCCTGGCACCCGTCGGGGAGCTTCCCGCCGTCCTGGGCCGGGTCCTTCCCGGGGGCGTAGTACTGGCCGCCCTCCAGGCCGTGGCTCTCATTCTGGACCAGAATGGGCGGCTTGTGCGGGTTCACTTTGTTCAGCCATTTGTCCAGCTGCCACTTGTTAGAGGAAGCAGGCTCGGCCTGAAAGCAACAAACAAAACACCCTTCGTTACAGACCTGCTGCTTCACCTTCACCTACTCCTCCAGGGTCTGGGCAGAAAGCGGATGGGGCGGGAGGAGGGGAGGGCAGGGGCGTGGCGTGTGGGGCAGCGCTCAGTTGGCACCTGGATGCAGGGGGGCGTTCCATTCCTGTCCCAGGTCGCTTAAATGTCAGTACTTTGAAGCCATTAGAAAAAATTTAGGGATAGCACTGTGCTTCATTAGAACCCATTTCCAACACCTTTGTGTGCTATTCAATGGATAGCTTTTATAATTATAACATACACGCATACATGCTTACACGAGATTCTGTGGCAGTTAACTGGGGAGCGGTCTGGGGGCCGTGTTAAAGCGCTCAGTTTCTGTAAGACTGGCATCCTGGGGCCATGGGAAGAGGGGGGCATGGGGAGGCTATGGTCCCAGAGAAGGGACGTGGAGTCCATGCAGGAAGGCAGGCCGGGCAGGTACCGGCAGCGGCAGTCACTGCGGGCACACGGTTTGGCTAGAGGCATAGCTCCCCCACTGAGCAGCCGCCTGTGTCCCTGAGCTCTGGCGCTAGACCTGGTTAATCCACCCTTAACCTGCTCCCACCCACTTTGTTTCAGACGTGAAAGTGACCATGGGAAGTATTTCCTGTGAGCCATTAGTTCAGAGCAAATCATGGGTATTCTAGGTTTCAACAGTAAACTCTGCCCCGGGCACAGAGCACCTAGGCCCTAGGGCTGTGGTCAGCAAACTGCGGCTCTTTGGCCCCTTCATAGCCTGGGTGAGTCTATTTTGAAGAAGTGGCGTTAGAAGAAGCTTAAGTTTAAAAAATTTGGCTCTCAAAAGAAATTTAAATTGTTGTACTGTTGATATTTGGCTCTGTTGACACTGCCCTAGGGGAAGGCCTTAGTTCTCTGTCCCATAAAAAGGTTAAGAGCCGAGGACATGCTTGATCGGTTGCTTTCTAATAAAGCCCATTGACCCATCATCTGTGACGATTAATGGGAAGGAGGTATATTGGTAAGAGTAGAACTAACCAGAGTGTTTGCAGTTTGTGACCATACATGAAAAGGAGAAGATATTTGGGTTAGGTGACATCTTTTTCCTTCCCACAGCGCCCCAGCCTCTGATCATGGCGTCTGCTGTCTCAGGGGAGACCAGAGACCGGCCCAGAATAAAGACGGCACTGCTGGCCTTTTGAACATGGCTGGTTCAAGTCCACAGCAAGTCAGCCTCCCTCGGAGGAGAAACACATTTCCCTTAACACAAGAATTTCAAAAGTTGTTTTCACATATCAAGATTTGTTTTCAACAGTGGGCTCCAGCTGAGGAAGAACCCTTAAGGAGCGTGAAGGGAAGGAGGGGCCTGGTGTCTGGGGGAGTCGGGGTCGTAGCTCAGGAAGCTGGGAGCTTCTGAGGGGCCAGGGGCCCGGAGCCAAGGCGAGGGACTCAGAGCATGGGAACCAGGCACTGAGCGAGGCAGGGACCAGGCACATCCTGCTGCTTCTTCCCAAACAGATGAGACCGCTGCACCTCAGGGACCCTGCAGCGGTGCCCAGTGGCCCAGCGTGGGCGTCCGAGGCCTTTGCCCTGGGCCGTTGGTGGCAAGGCTTCCCCCAAGGATACAGGTGTGGGAGGCGAAACCCTCATGGCCCTGATTGGGGTGCCTGGTCTTCGCTTTGTTTTCATGCACCAAAAGCAAGCACAAAAGAACACAAACATCCTTCTGGAGGCCCCGAGTTGTGACACGGCAATTCCGACCTTGCTTCACGTGGCTTCTGGGAGAGGAGCCCACAGAATGCCGGGGCACACCCGTGCACACTCACTGCCCTGCAGCGCGCCCCTCGGGGGGCGGCAGGCACGGGCAGCTGCTCCACAAGGGGGAGCGGTCCCCTGAGACCAGCTGAGTGTGGCTGAGAGCTAAGTGGGTGGCAAACAATTTATGGCTCCTGGTAAGGTCTCCTCCCACCCCGCTGCTCTCACCGTGTGGCCACTGACAGGTCAGTGACTTGTTCGTCTCCGCTTCCCCAGGCCCAGGTCGGTAAACTCATTAGTCACCAGAGTCTAATATCTACAGCACAACGATTGAAATTCCTCTTGAGAGCCCAATTTTTTTAACTTAAACTTCTTCTAATGCCACTTCTTCAAAATAGACTGGTCCAAGCCATGGTATTTTGTGGAAGAGCCACACTCAAGGGCCAAAGAGCTGCATGTGGCTCATGAGCCTCGGTTTGCAGACCTCTGTCCTAGATAAATGGGGCACAGGAGATAGGGATGCGGGCAGAGGGGCCTCTTGCAGAAGAGGGACACATTTTGGAAGGGGGAGCCAACACTATGGCAGAGCATGCCCCTCACGCTGCCTCTCTCTCCCCTTTCCCCCATCCTGAGCTGCCCACAGCTCACACCTCCCAGCACTCCCTGCCGGGCGCTCAGAGTGAGGGGGAGTTAGTCCATTTAATATGCGCCTGCTGCCTCATGTGCTTTGAGGTCATTTCCCCTTCCACTTCACAGGTGAAGAAATCGGTCTGAAGCACCGTTTACAACACACCACTACATCACGCTTCCTTCCTCAAGGACCTCCGCCTGCCTCTCAAAGGGAACCCAAATTTCTCGGGTTTGTGTTCAGGACTCCCATCACTTCACAGTTGTCCTTCGTTGCTGGAACGCCTACAGTGACCTCCCACTTCACATATGCCACCTGATTTAACCCACTCAGGTAAGATATGTCGCCGCTGATCTGTATGCAGATCAGAGAGGGTAAGTGACATGTCAAAGCTGCACAGCTACCAGGTACCCTGAGACTAAACACGTATCGCCTGTTCTCTCTCCGGCTGCCTTGCCTCATCTCCCATTCCCCCAGCAAGCTTCAAGAACGTGGAAGCTTTTGAGAAATGCAGGGTCTTCACCCTAAAACGAGAGTTAGGTCTGATTTTGGAGAACATCACTAACTCTCCAATAATACCTGTGCCTCCTGTTACCCTCAACTGCACGGCCTCCTGGCGCTCATGCTCCTTCCCTGCGCCCACGTGCCTTCAGCAAAGCCCGGCCCTCCCGCCGGCAGGAGCTGGTCTCCTGCAGCGTGTCCCTCGCAGCGTCTGTACCAGCTGGGAGGCAGGCTGCCGCGCTGCTCCTGAGAACAACGCACGCCGGCTGTCCCTCCATCCTACTCTCAGTCCTCCGAGCTGAGTGGCCATTCCGGGGGCAGGGCAGTTGTGGCCCGGGGAGCTGAGCGTGAAGACTTGGTGGTGTGAAGGTGGGACTCTGCGCACTGGCCTGCAGCCGGTATGGCCGCCTTCCTGAGCCGCCCCAGGGCTTCTGCCCCTGTTTTCTCTGCTTGCTCACTGCTTTCTGTTTTCAGCCCACGATTCTCTTCCCCAGTTGATTCCCCTCCCTGGTTGCTTCCCCTCTCCGGTTGATTCTCCTCCCGGATGAATCTTCACTCCCACTCATGCCTAAGCCTCCCCCGAGCACAGCAGTCCCTGCTCCATCGGACTCCTTCCTAGCACCCCCCCCCCCCCCCCCCGCCCTGCCATACACCCCACAGATTCCTCACCGGGGAGAAGCTAGTTCAATCAACGAATACCCGGCATCACATTTCTGCTGACTTTTAAGAACAACCCAGGGCGGCATGGCCCACAGGTGCCTGTAGTTCACAGAGTCCACGAGAAAGGTTTCCATGGGGAACGTGCAATGGAAACCAGCTTCCATGAGCAATACCGCGGGCTGGGTGGAGCCCTGGGGTAAATGATGGTTAAGGACAATCCTGGCCTTCCTGTGCCTGTGTGGCAGGGGCTGGGAGCTCTGTGTCGGGTGCAGTCTGCTCGCTGAGGGGGGAGTCACGGTCCCCGGGACAGCTCGGACATGAAAGGGAGCATCGTGCCAGAAAAGAAGATGAAACTCAAGTGTCACAAATTAGACTGAGAACTCTCGGCGACCATCAGGCCCCAGGGAGGGCACTGCACGGCGGCTGGTGTTTGCAGTGACCCCTCTGCGCCAGCGTGCGGACCAGGCGTATGATGGTAAGGCTGTTCAATGCAGTGTCTCTACAAGCAGGCCGTGGAGGGCAGTGCAGAGGGAACTCAGCTGCGCTCCCTGGGTGCCGGCGCTGGCCGCTGACCGGAGAATGGGGGCCCTTGAAATGTCATGAGGGCCTCCTCTCCCCTCCACACGCCAGGCTGTTACAGGGGGCAAGAGAGGGAGTGAGGGTCAGAAACAGTTTGCTTCTAAGCAGCAGAAACAGCCTGCACAGTGGAATGGGAGGTGTGGCTCCCTTGTCATGGGGGTTCAGGGAGCCGAGCCCATGCTCTCCACAAGGTGACCTGGGCCGGCTCAGCCCGAGGGCAACAGTGACGCCGTGGAGGGTCAGGCCCATGCTGCTACTTCTCTTTGCAATTTTCATTCGTGAAATTTGCTTTATTTCTAAAGGGCATGTGTATTAATCTTGGGGAGAATGTTAAAAGCAACCTTACTTTTATTCCCACTAAGACATCCTTTTCAGCAGAAAGAAGCGATGTGCAGGTGACTAACCCACTCTTGCCACTTCCACATCCTCTCTGCACCCAGAAGAAAGGCGCTGCAAACTGTGTGTGGCTCCAGGCAGCTTGGCTCCGTGCCTGCTCCGCAGAGCGCCCTCTCCAGAGCCAAGGCCTCTGAGAGCTGCTGGGAGAAACGACAAGAGCTTCCTTTCCTCACTACGGGGTTTAAGCCTGTGATCATCTCAGGGACATTCAGAAAGAACTTGCTTAAAGTGCCGAAGAACTCACTTGGAAAACTACAGGACATTGAAAAAAGAGATAGAGGAAGACATAACCAAATGGAAGAACATACCATGTTCATGGATTGGTAGAATCAGCATCATTAAAATGTCCATACTACCCGAAGCATCTACAGATTCAATGCAATCCCCATTAAAATACCAATGGCATATTTCAAAAATCTAGAACAAACTCTCCAAAAATTCATCTGAAATAAAAAAGACCCTGAAGAGCCACATCAATCTTGAGAAAGAAAAGCAAAGTTGAAGAGATCACAATACCAGATGTCAAGATATATTACCAAGCCACGGTTCTCAAAACTGCCTGGTACTGGCACAAGAACAGACATATAGACCAATGGAACAGAACCCAGAACCCCCAAATTGACCTAAGTCATTATGCTCCATTAATTTTTGACAAAGGAGGCAAGAGCATACAATGGAGTCGAAATAGTGTCTTCAATAAATGGTGCTGGGAAATTTGGTCTGACACATGCAAAAAAATGAAACTAGATCACCAACTTACACCATACATAAAAAAAACAAATTCAAAATGGTTAAAGGACTTAAATGTAAGATGGGAAACCATAAAAATCTTAGATGACTCCATTAGCAGCAAAATCTTAGACATACGTTGTAGCAATATCTTTACTGATACTGCTTCTAGGGCAATAGAGACTAAGGAGAAAATAAACAAATTGGACTACATCAAAATAAAAAGCTTCTGCTCAGCAAAAGAAACCATCAACAAAACAAGAAAGCCCACTGCTTGGGAGAACATATTTGCCAATGTTATTCCAGATAAGGGTTTAATCTCCAAAACTTATAGAGAACTCATACAACTTAACAAAAGGAAGATAAACTATTCCATAAAAAAAGGGCAAAGGACCTAAATAGACACTTTTCAAAAGAGGACATACAGAAGGCTGAGAGACATATGAAAACATGTTCAAAGTCACTAATCATCCGAGAGATGCAAAAAAACAATGAGATACCATCTGACACCTGTCAGAATGATCAGCTATGATCAACAAATCAACAAACGACAAGTGCTGGGGAGGATGCAGAGAAAAAGGAACCCTCATGCACTGCTGGTGGGAATGCAGACTGGTGCAGCCACTGTGGGAAACAGCATGAAGTTTCCTCAAAGAAATTAAAAATAGAACTCCCATTTGACCCAGTGATACGACTTCTGGACTATATCCCAAGAAACCGGAAACACCAATCAGAAAGAACATATGCACCCCTATGTTCATAGCAGCACCATTTACAACAATTAAGATTTGGAAACAGCCTAAATGCCCATTAGCAGATGAGTGAATAGAAAGACTGTGGTACATCTACACAATGGAATACTATGTTGCTATAAAAAGAAGGAGCTTTTACCATTTGCAACAGCATGGATGGAACTGGAGAGCATTATGGTAAGCGAAATGAGCCAGTCAGAGAAAGATAAATATCACATGATCTCACTCATATAATGAACAGCATAAACTGATAAACAAAAATAGATCCAGAGACAAATGGCAGGGCAGGGGCGTTAGAGATCAACCGAAGGACTTGTATGCATGCATATTAGCATAGCCAATGGACACAGACACTGGGGTGATGGGGGCTTGCCCTTGGGGGTTAGTGTGGCAGGGGGCTGGGGGAGGTCAATTGGGAGAAAAAAGGAGACATAAGTAAAACTTTAGACAATAAAAAAAAAAAGTGGCTAAGAACTGCAGTTCTAGGCTGGCTTCAGCCTCACCAATGAGAATGAGATGCAACTGCTCATGGGGTTAAGCTTCACAGTCAGAGAAGAGCCGGGACAGGGGTCCTCCCAGACACTAATGCTTTTTACCCGCTCCACCCCTCCTTGGCTCCTGTGCCGTCCTGGACCCGTTGTTTCTTAGAGCTGCCACGCTCCTGCAGTTTCTCAATGAATTATGGCACAGCGTTGGCTTTGAAGAAGCCTGTCTAACGCCTTTACTTTATTGAACTCCTGTATTGTTTTGTCTCATATTACTCCCATTAGCAGCCCGGCTCTGTGAAGACAGGAACATGCTGGATAATTGCTGTATCCCAGGGCCAAGCACCAGGTCGGGGGCACGTGCTTGATAAGTATTTGTTGGATAAAAATGGAATGAGTGAATGAATCAAATTATAAAGAAGGAATAATAATTTAGTTTTGGGGAAAAGTCAGGGTTATATGAGCCTGTGTCTTTTATAGGTTACTGTTGTTAAGAGCTTTCCTTTATATGGAGGCCGGGCAGGTGTGTGGGTGGGTTTCGGGGAGCAGGAGGTAAGCTTCATGGGAAGGAGAGGAAGTGCAGGACAGAGGGCTTATTTCAGGGTGCATGGCAAGTGCTCAGAGCAGAGCAGGAAGGTGCTGGAAGAATGAGTGTGGGGAATATATTCCCCAGGATTCTCAGTGCTGCTGGAGGGGAGACCCTGAGGGAATTAAGCCCCAGCTGATCTCTCTCCAGTGTCCTCAGGCACAGGCTCGGGGCTGCGCACAGTGTGCCTGCGCGCTCCCTCTCACCGCCTCGGTTCACATAAGGGCTGTTGGCTTCGTCTCAGAGCCCATTTAGAAACGTGAGCCCCACGGTGCTCCCGTGGGTTGGTAGGTGAAAAATTAAATCCTACCATCCAGGGTAAGGCCAAATGTTTACACACGCAGGAGGAAACCATTTTACTCTTTCTGTAGACATGAAAGTCTGCTGTACAGAGCCAAGGGCTCGAGGAATTTGCCCTCACCCTCTCCCAAGAACCTCCATGCCCCGAGACACTGTTTAATATTTCCCTTTCCCCGTTAGAGCTGAAATAGCAATGTTTTTATTGGCACCTCATAGTGTTTTTATATGAGGCATCTAAGTCTCCCACGTAGGTACTCCTTATAGCTAGAAAAGGTTAAGTATTTGTAGGTTGGTGCTAACTTTTAAAAAACATTTTCACGAAGAAAGCACAGTTAAGAAAGTTTTATTAATACTTATAGCTCTTGTTCTTCTAACCTGTGACAGACTGCAAAAAGGTCAGGTCTTACCATGTCCAATCCATAACTCCTTCCCATGGGTCACAGGGGGCCATGCGCCCCATTCAGTAACCCACCCTGGCTGATTACTGACCCTGCTGACCCCCAGGGAGACCTGACCCCACTCCAGCCAGCGGCATTCCCAGCCTATTTGGAAATTCCTGGCCATCGAAATAGAGATTTTTGGAGATGAAAGATGCAACTTCTGTGCTCCCAAGAAAGCTCTGCAACTAAGAGAACCGCGAGAAGGGGGCAGAGCAGGGAAAACGATGAGCCCAAACCAGCCTGATAGGCTGTCCAGGGGCCGTGGCCTCGGGTCGTGGCTGTCGCAGCGCGGAGGTGGGCAGCTGTGAGGACCAGGGTCCGGGCTGACAGAGGCCCACGTGGGCCGTGGGGGCTTACCTCGGGGCTGGAGTAGTGGGCGGGCTTGCTGCCCTCGCTCTCGCTGGAGCTGCTCTCGCTCTCGGAGTCGGATCCCGAGCTGCTCTCCGAGTCGCTGGACGAGCTGCTGCCGCTGCTGCTGCTGCCGCTGCTGCTGCCCTTGCTGGAGGCCACTGAGGCTCTGCGGCTGGCCTGCTGGAGCCCGGCGCTGCCCGGGGGAGAGGGAAGGAAACGCAAGTGAGCAAACACACAGCACCCCGCAGCTGCCCCGCCACCAGAGGAGCGAGAAGGCACAGGCCGCACATTGGTCCACCATCACTTGGCACGCGCAGAGCGACCGTCAAGGTCGATCCTGCCAGTCCCGTGGTTCCATACGCGCCGATAAACGGGGAGTGGGAGTGGGTGCCCGTGGCAGTCGGGCATGCCATGTGTATGGCCATTCGGGGAAAGGCGGGGGAGGGGGGCGTTCAGACGGCGTTCTGTCCCGCCGCTGTTTCTGGGAACGCCTTTCCAGGGCACCCCAAACACAACCATCTACAAAGAGGCAAGGAAATCCAAAATGCTTGGAATGTTTTGTGAAAATTGAAAATGTCTGTTTGCTTTATTTTAGGACGTGGGCTGTGAGGAAGGGAACAGTGTTCCTTTCTGTCCTTCCCTGGTCTGCTGGAAGGTTCCGTACGGAGACGCAGACTGGGGCCCAGCGGTTACATAACCCTGCCCCCCCCCGCCCGCCCCCGCCTCCTCCCGCCTCAGACTGAACACCGTCTCTCCCCAGGAGCAGGCTCGCTGAGTAAACAGCCATTTTCCTCTGAGCCCTTCACCGAAGGACCGGAGATCCATCACTCACATAGTTTTATATATTCCAGACCCCAGGAGAGCGGCTGCCTCAGAGCAATAACATTTCAAAGTACACTACATGTTCACATTTCATGCTGAAATTCGCCAGGAAATTATATACGCAAGTTATATGTTCAGACAGAATCGGGAAAATGGACATTTTCTAATGGTAATGAATTAGCCACAAAAATTCAAATAACACACAGCCACCCAAACAGTGTTTGAGGCAAGAATAAAGTTTTTGGTACTCCCATTATATTCAACATTTTCAAAGTCTGTACTAATTAAATCACATCTGACTCTGTTCTTTCGAGGTCAAACGCTCAACCCAGAGAGGCAGCGACCACGTTCTCCCGGGACAAGGCTGGCTGCCCCTCCCACTGCAGCCATGGACCATGGGCCAGGCCGGCCGGGCGTGGCAGGGGGAGGCCTCGGTGCAGGTCGGCCAGGGACCATTTTCCCGGCCCCTTACGGCTCTGACAAATGCTCTGCCCAGGACGGAATGGCATAAATCCTCAGTGTGGGGGCGCGGGGAGTGGGGTGAAAGTGTCATTGCTCATTGGAACCCGGCTTCCAGGAACCTGACAAGACAAACACCGTCTTGCAGGATTTACCTGGAAATAAAAGCCATTTGTGAGCTGCGGGTCAGGGAGAGAGGGCGCTGGGACACAGCCTTGCCTGGAGGTTTTATTTCCCCCAGTGTCATGGCCACACCACGGCCGGACACATCCTTCAACGTCAGGCGGCATCTGCAGCTCCGCCCAGCCTGCCGGCAGGGACTGCTCGTGCGGCCTCTCGTTTGTGGCTGGCGTTGAGCGAGAGTCCTGGCTCTTTCGAAGGGAGGTTAGTGATCAAAGGCTGCAAAGTGGCTTTCTTCCTTATGGGCGAAAACCCATCTCTTCTGCTGGTGAAGCTGGGATGGCTCCTCTCAATGAAGTCATTACAAACAAAAGGGACCACCGGTCTCTGACCCAGCACGACCCCTGAGATCCACACGAACCGTTTGTCAGGGCCCCACCCCCGCAAACACTGGGGTGGGGAAACGCCAAAACACAAACCAACACCCCCACTAACACAGCCAAACAAACCCCAAAGCCCCAGAGCACAGCCACATGTGGCGGAGGGAAGAGATAGCTCCCGCCCCACTTCAGAAGCCTGGGAACCAGGACGGACAAGGAGCGCGCCGGCTGGTTTTGTGCCGCCAAAGGCTGGGTCCCTGATGAGGACGTTCTACCTGCTCCGGAGCCAACACAGAGAGCATGTGATGGGGTGCTGCGCGTGGAGTCCTCGGGGGCTCGCACCCAACGCGGCCGGCTGGCCTTTGGAAAGAGGCTCTTCAATCTCCGGGAGATGCCCGTGAGCCGTGCCCACCTGCCCTGCAGAGGAGGCCGAGGCCCAAGGAGACCCCGCCTCTGGGCTGTCAGGTCGGCAGAAAGCCTCACACTTTCCCGCTTCCCTTCCTCAAACTGGGAATTCCTCGACAGGGACAGTCTCACTGGTATACCCACTGTTTGTTTTTAAAACAGCGGGAGAGCCATGCATTTTAGGCTTCTCTCCATGCTTTGTCCACGGGCTGAGGCTCAGGATTGGGTAAGTTCGTGGTTCAATGGTCCGAGCAGAGAGCATGTCGCCAGGAAGAGTCTGGTGAGGGCGGGAGCCCCGAGAGCTGTGCCCCATCCTGGGACCACGAAACTGCCCGCACCCACCTTGGCGAAGGCCACTCCGAGGCACCGGGCACAGCCGGCCGGGCTGATAGCTCCCATCTCAGCACACGGAGCCCGGGGCCGCGGCGCGGGGAGGGGCAGTGAGGACGAGGAGCGGGTGAGGTCACACCGCAGGCCAGGACCCATCGAAGGGCCCTCTGGAGGCAGGAAATCAAGAAGACGGGAGGAGACGCACGGGAAAGCCCTTCCCGAAGGCAGACGGGGCTGCAGACAGCTAACGTTTCAGTGTGCCGAGAGACCTCGTGTTTTTGTACCGGAGATATTAAAGAAATAATTAAAAAATCTAACATTTCCCTGAAACAATAGCATTAGGATAGTTGACATGATGACACGGTGTGGACAGTGTTTATGCATGCTCTTGGGCCCTCTGCCATACCAGGAACACGGGGCAGTGGAGTCTGCAGACGTGAAAACATTGATGAGATCATGGAATGCATCTGTGTGCTGCCCAGCTTAGCACTGTACTGGGACATAGTAGTTGCTCACATGTGATCACTGAGTAAAAAAATCAGTAGAAGAAAAAATCCATCATTGGTTTAATGGGCTTTTTAGAAAAAGCATTTAACCTTTCAAAAAGGTTATACTTTCTCTTTGCCAATAAAAGAATATTTAAGGGGATCTCAGCTCCTCTGTGCTCTCCCAATTTTAACACTTTTCCTTTCAGAGACTGTTTCTTTAAATGTACCCTCAGTTTAGCGGAAACCGGTTTGGCTCAGTGGATAGAGCGTCGGCCTGCAGACTGAAAGGTCCCAGGTTCGATTCCGGTCAAGGGCATGTACGTTGGTTGTGGGCACATTCTCAATAGGGGGTATGCAAGAGGCATCTGATTGATGAGCCGGCCCGGGCCAAGTCTGAACACAGACGGTGAGAGGAAGGATCTGGAACCTCAGTGCCAAATCCCGGGGCTCACAGGCCAGGGTGCCTTGCCGGCCAAGGGCCGTGTGGGGCTGGATAAGTACCCATAGGCGTCTAAGACCACACAGCACGTGAGCTTTCCAATACTTCACAGAAGTCCTTCCATTTCCATAAACCCAGCTTCAGTGCAGGGCCCCAGACAGCGATGACACTGAGCGGGTCCAAGGACCCTCCCAGGGGAGGGGAGGGGCCCAGAGAGAGGCAGCATGGGCCGCAGTCGGCCACCATCATGTTGGCTCCCGAAACCCTCCTTCTAGCCCAAGGTCTGTCTGAGCAGACCGATTCCATCGCTCTCCTGTGTTTAAAGCAAATGAAGTAAGCCTCTGATGCCAGCCGCCTGTGGTGTTCAATCTGCATCTCACCAGGGAATACAAGATTCAGGATGGGGAGCTCAGGGGATTCTGTGGAAACCAAATTACGGCATCTGAGGGGCAGACTTGTGACTTGTTGGCTGTTGTAACCAGGCTGGTGTGTTCCTGGGATAGGAACTCTCATGTAAAAACTTCTCCAGGTTTTTGCGGGAAGGGCTGTGCCCACGGCTCCCTCACAGGCCCTGTAATAGAGCATGGCTGCTGGACTGCTCCAGCAGAGCAGGTAGGACAACTGAAACAAGCAAAAACGCAGCGAGGACCGCACACCTCCTGACCAGGAGCCCCCAGGAGGGCCTCTGCAGGACTGGCTAACCACCAGGCTCTGTGGCCTCACCCGTCCCCACCCTCCTTACTCACCACCACAGGGCTCGGCTCAGGCTCCCTCTCCTCACAGCCCCAAGGAGCTGCCACATGCATCACACAGATGGCCATGTCCAGAGGAAGGGACAGTGCTCTCGGTCTCCCTTGTGAGGAGACCACGCCTTGTGCCTCCCTGGCTGCAATTACCTCCCCTCTCCAGGGCTAACCAGTCCCACAGCAAGGCTCATAGGCCACTGAGACTGGCCTGGGAATTCAACGCTCACCCCTTAGGGACTGGACACCTCCCAACCTCCCTGAGAATCTGCCGCGGAGTGCGGGGTGCACTGGAATATGGCAAGTGCTGAATCTATAGTTAATGACAAAGGAAAACCTGGTTATGGGAGGGGAGAGGCCAGAGCCTCTCCTGTGCTCTCTGTGGAGTGACCTAATTTTAGTTACTTTCTCCTAGAAATGCTCCATATCAGAATTTCTAACGCGAAGCTGTGTGAATCCTATGCTAATTCTACCCCTCGCCCTCATTCAGCATGGTGAGCGGTGGGCAGGCCAAGAAGAACCCAGAGAATGTCGGAGCCGGAGGCATGGATGGTAGTTCATTGACTCACACGCTGTCCTGTGTGTGTTTTCTCCTGAGCACCCGTTTTCCCGAGGAGCTGACGTGGGCAGGCCAGCGGGCGGGGTGTGGAAGAAGGTGTTGGGCCTCTTGGCAGTGCAGCCTGGTGTGTGCTGGTGACAAGGCCCTGGTGGGGCAGTGGGAACTTGACCTTGGAGTCTGGGAATGCTTGGCTGTGGTGGCGGCACTTGCTGGCTGTGATCTCTGCTTCATGGCTGGATGCCCCAGGCGCGGGCACAGCGCGGTGCGGGCCCCAGGCCTCAGGAGCCTGGGTGACGGTGCACCTTGTGGGTCTCAGTGCAGCCAAATGCCCAAGTGCTTTGCAGGAAGGTTTTTTTCTTTTTTTAACACCTGCCCACAGTAGACGATTTTCCTGAAGGCGGCTTCACCGTCTCTAGTCTCCAGCTGAGACACAAAGCACCTGAGGAGC